TAATTACCGGATGCTTCATTTCATAATCACATTCTGCTCTTCCGATTTTACCACCTACGCGTAGAAGGCCATTTCTATCTAACGTTGGCTTTCGTGATTCAATTTTGCTTCCATCAGGCATCGATGCGTCCCTGGACAAGGCACGAATCTCCCTTAGATATTCCAGCTCTTGCGTTTCGCTAATCATCAGCTCTAAAGCCTTAGACCTTTCTTCAGCAGTAGACACCGAAATATGAAAGTCTCCACGGCTTGACTTTCGAAGCTGTCGATTACCATTTGCACTCAACAGATGCACAAATCTTAGCACTTGCGACATAATTCCAATTAATCTGTCCAATGAACTAGCACATTGTCCCAGCGGAACTCTTTCCGCATTACCACTGCCCTTAATGCTCCATGTTGGAGTTGCTTCAACTGCAATATGCACTTTCATGTCCGGCAATGCTCCTTCAGGTATATCCCAAAACCACCTTTTGGCCATTCCTTGCTTGGTTACCTAAGCCAACTGGGACCATGCAACCATAATTGATGACCTACAATTCCACTAGCGCTCATACCCCTAGTCAGATGATCAGCTGGATTATCACTTGTTTTCACATGTCGCCTTTTATTGATGTCAGTATTAGCCTGAATAGACGCCACCCTATTCGCTACATAGAGCTTCATCTGGCACGGCAATTTCCGTAGCCAATGCAGGACTATGGTTGAATCCGACCGATTCACATAGTCCACTGCCTGCCATTCCTTGCGCCGTACAACGCTCAAGTATAACCTACCTAAAAACTCAGAAGCAGCAAGCTCAAGTTTAGAAATTGTTATTATCTTCAATGGCGCAACCCTAGCTTTGGAAATTAGCAACTTAGAACTTATCATTCCCAGACTAGACACAACTCGCACATAAATCACTGCCCCGAAGTCTTCCTCGGATGCATCCGCAAATCCATGCAACTGAATAATTGCATCGTTTGATACACGAATATATATAGGTAACTTGAATCTTTCTAGCTCCGAAATATCTTTCCAGAATTCTAGCCATCTAATTAATCCTCTGAGGAACCTGCTCGTCCTATCCCATGCTCAGTCTCCACAAATCTTGCACTGTTATTTTTCCAATAAATGTAACTGGTGTTATATAACCATTTGGATCGAAAAGTTGTGCAACACAACTTAGAACAATTCGCTTGCTAATCACCACAGGTACCTCTGGCGCCTTCACCACAAATGTAAATTCGTCGCTATCAGTATACCACTTCAAGCCTAGCCCCGATGTATCCGCATTATCGGACAGCAACAATGTATTCGGTTCTTCTGATTGGAAAGCATTTACAGGCACTTTGCTATTGGACTGCCACTTACATAGTTCCATACCAGCACTACCTAGCACGAATCTTATTACTCTAGCTAATCTGATTGCTTCGTCATCATTACTTGCCCCTGTAATTCCATCGTCCATATACAAATCATCAATAATAGCTCTAGCTGCTGATGGAAAATATTCTAACTG